TTCAAAACATTCCTAATTCTAAGAGTATTTTTGTAAGTACCCCTAGCATTTATACACAATTAATTACATATGTCGGTCCATCACAACAAATTAAATAATTTCCCAACAAACTCGCACAACCTTCTCTANTAATTTTAAGGGTATTTTTGTAAGTCCTTTTTTTAAAGGGTATTGGGCCTGTACAGAGTTTTAAAATGGGATAATTAGCCCTATTACCCTCCAAAATAACAAATTAGAATAATACCCTAAAACTAATTAAATTTTCTACTCTCGTAGTAAACACGCTCAAAACCCACCTTAGACGTAAGTGGAGAAGATGGAAAATCCATCAACGACGCTGGAGATGAGGATGTAGCGCCACCCAGTGACTGCCCTATCACGGTGTCGACTTTAATCAAAATGTCGTGGCAATACTTAACCGGATCCTTTCCCACAAACAAATTGCGTAACCTACACAGACGCAATGGCCGATGGGGACTACAACATGGACAGAGGGTCTGCGCAATTCATCAATTTTTAAATTTAATGTTATTATTATTTCAAAGCTTCTTTGTTGGGATCTGGGTTTAGCTAGGGGTTTTGTTTTCACTAACTAGAATTTTTGTAGATACGAAAATGAGCCAATTGATCCCAAACCCAATGTAAGAAGATGTATTTCTTTTTATGTTTGCATATTATCACTAATAACGTTTTCGCAGTCCACCAGTGATTGATTTTGCCTTTTTTTTTGTGGCAATTGATGGGAAGGTGCAAAGTTGGAAAAAGAGAACAATAACAATGAGGATGCTCTGGATGACATTGTAGGTGAAGGCGAAGAGAAACAGGAAGAAGAACTCGTTGAATGCCCTCGGAAAACGTCCAAGTATATGTGTGCGAGGATTTTGGGTACACTGGCATTGCAGATTAGGTGGGGTTCAGTTTTATGTTTTTTTTTTTAATATTTAAAAATTCTTATTCCAAACTCTACGTATTTGTATTGTAAATTATGAATTTCGAGGGTTTAATTTGATTGGTTTGCCTTCATGAATGCTATCAATGTGTGAAATTGAATAATTTTACAGCTATCTTATCTTAGATTAAACAAATAGATTGAACAATGTTGCTATTTCTAAATTTATATCCAAAGTCTTAACAGAATAAAATAGATACTAATTATTCAACGAGAAAACCATCATGATACTATTTCTATAACTCTTTGTGTTTTTTTTTTTTATTTCGTCACTTTTTGAGAGTTTCACTTTTTTTTTATTTTCTTGTCACTTTTTTTAATTTATCATTTTTTTGAATTTTGTCACTTTTTGAGTGTTTGTCACTTTTTTATTTTCTATCATTTTTTTAATGAGTAACTTTTCTTTAAAATTTTGGATTACTTTTTCGAAATCGTCACTTTTTAAAAAAATTTGTAACTTTTTTTGAATTTTTGTCATTTGTTTTACTATTTATCACTTTTTTGAATTTTTGTCATTTTTTTTTAGCGTTTATAATTTTTTTTTCAATCACCTTCTTGATTTCTATCACTTTTTTTTTTAGTGATAAACATCATTTTTTAATAAAAATGACATTGTGTGTTATTTTTTAGGGCGTGTTCAGTAGAGATTAAAATTAAAAAACTAGTCGTGATTGTCGACTTTTATTAGACGAGTGAGATCCAATAATGACTATATTTTCAATTTTAATCCAATTTTGAGCTGTACCAACAAGCTTTTAATTAAAAAAAATTGACACTCAACTTTTAAAAGTAGCATCGTGTCACTTTTTCTTATTAAAAAGTGACACCGTGACACAATTTTTATAAAAAAGCGACATTGTGACACTTACGGGGGTGTCCTCAACTAAGATTTTGGTGAATTTTAAACGATTATAAGTCCTAATGAATTTCGTGGATTTGAAT